GTTTATGATTATGTGGCATGAAAGGAATGACATGATAATGGAATTAACTATGTAAATATTGTGATAAAATATACTTTTACTTCATGTCTGAAATTCATGAATGGATAAAAGTGATATTTTTGATATTGGGATCAAATTATATTTGGATTGGAAAATCAATTGAAAAGAAATGTCAATTTGAATTAAGAACTTGATATGTTCTAAGACTAACCTACTAGTATTAAAATACTAGTCAGGAGAATAATATAATGGAATTAATCCTAAGGGATAGGATGGTGAATAGATTTGCCTTAAGTAGTCTTAAGAGATACTTTAAGGTTGAATTGTATGAACACTAAGGTGTGTTAGGGGTAAGCCTAAAGGCTACCCAAGGGGATTGATTCTAGGCATAGGATTTGCTTGAGAATTGGACTATGAAAATGAATTAGAGTCGGACTCTAGAATTGCATGGAAATGTAGTTGGGCCGAGCCCTTGCCATGTAATGTGATTAGCACGGAAACGTAGTTGGGCTGAGCCCTTTCCATGTATTTGTGATCTTCGTGGAAACGTAGTTGGGCCGAGCCCTTGTCATGAAGTTGTGGTTGGTATGGAAACGTAGTTGGGCCGAGCCCTTGCCATATAATCTTAATGTGTTAAATTGAGTTGAAGGGTTGTATAGAAATGTAGTTGGGCCGAGCCCTTGCTATATAATCAGGACTCAAGGGAACCCTATGGGGTTGGCGTGACTAGTAGTCACGGGGAATTAAAATGGTGAATTCTAAATGAATATGTGCCCACGGGCCGATTACTTGACTTTATATAAAGTAAGTACATTTCTATAAAAGGGGTAACCGAGGGTTACAGCCTATAATATAATATCACCCTAGATTGAGGGTCTTTGAAATTGAAACGTTGATTATACTTAGTATAGTTATCATTGTACTTGTCAAATGCTTCCAAGTACTGACCTCGCCTTCACGGGGGAGGCCACCTCACAGTTTCAGGTAGGAGCTGAGCTTGCTACCATTGCCTGTGGCTTTGGGGAGATTCTAGGAGAGAAGACGTGGTTCGTGCTTCCTCCGTTTCTGTTTCAAAACAATTATAACAATGCTCATGGATATTATTTTTTTAATAATTATTTGGGGGCTTGTATGACCATGTTTGCCAAAGTGTGGCATAAACTCTTTTTTATATGTTTCCGCTGCTTTAAATAAATGTTTTACATTATGTTTGTTTATGGATGTACTACATGTGAATGGTATTCAAGACGCCTTGTATAGTATGGATGAGTTGGACTGCGGTTGACTATTCGTACTGTACGGCAGGTTGTTGACGTGTTCGGCTAGGTCCGGGGCGTGATATCCCTTCCTTTGCTCAACCATCTTCTCACCGGTCCTCCATGCCACCCTTTGGTCTTACACTGCGTGACGCCGATGATTTTGATGAAGAGCAGGTTCCTCCCCTAGGATTCCCTGGTTTTCGTTCAACCATCTTCTCATTGGTCCTCCGTACAGCCTTTTGGTCTTATGCTGCACGAGGCTGATGATCTTGATGTAGAACAAAACGTCATCTTGGCGATGAGCGGATTTCCTTGGTTTTCGTTCAACCATCTTCTCACTGGTCCTCTGTGCCGCCCTTTGGTCTTACGCTGCGCGATGTCGATGATCTTTGATGAAGAACAGAGTGTCATCTTGGCAATGAGCGGATTTCCCTGGTTTTTGTTCAACCATCTTCTCATCGGTCCGCCGTGCTGCCCTTTGGTCTTACGCTGCGCGAGGTCGAAGATCTTGATGAAGAACAGGTTTCTCCCCTAGGATTCCCTGGTTTTCGTTCAACCATCTCCTCACCGGTCCTCCGTGCCGCCCTTTGGTCTTACGCTGCGCGAGGCCGATGATCTTGATGAAGAACATGTTTCTCCCCTTGTTTTCGTTCAACCATCTTCTCATCGGTCCTCCGTGCTGCCCTTTGGTCTTACGCTGTGCGAGGCTGATGATCTTGATGAAGAATAGAACGTCATCTTGGCGATGAACGGGTTCCCCTGGTTTTCGTTCAACCATCTTCTCACTGGTCCTTCGTGCCGCCCTTTGGTCTTACGCTGCGTGAGGTCGATGATCTTTGATGAAGAACAGAGCGTCATCTTGGCGACGAGCGGGTTCCCTGGTTTTCCGTTTAACCATCTTCTCACCGGTCCTCCGTGCTGCCCTGGGATCATCTTCATCACTGATGATCTTTGATGAAGGACGGGTTTATCCCCTGGGATTCCCTGGTTTTGGGAGTTATGTCTCCCTCTTCCCCCATTTTTTTTGGGAGGAAAGAATTTTGTATGATGATTTCATTAAGAGAATTTTTTCAAGTGCCCCACATTCCACGTACCAGCGGCGTGCCCTTCAATTGGGTGGAGGACAAACGTCCCGTAAACGTATTTACTAGAGACCGTGTACGGCCACTATTATCCCTACTGGATGATCTTTCCCACTAGCGTCCGAGGCCCCTGGGGGCTGGGGCAGACACCCTCGTGGATTTCCTTCATGACTGCGGCAGCTAAGCTCGGCAGGAGACATCTGGAGTATGGCACGCCGGACGTCTTCTTGTACAGTTGTCCATCCATAACCTTGAAGCTCAGGTCCAGCCTCTTGATCCAGGCGCCCCTCCCAGCTGGTCGGTCATCTGGGTCCAGGGGAAGGGTCCCTTCCCTAAGGTAGTCAGCCGCCTCGGCCATCCATTTTGGATCTGCAAAAAAGAAAACGGTTGATACCTGAACTCTCTATCGCCGGACGGAGGAGTACTTCCTCAACCCCTTTCCGCTCCGCAAGGGTATCCCCGGTTTCCGCCCACCGAAGTCACTTGATCTCCAATTTCTTCTTGTGGCTGTCCAGTCTGTGGAACCCCTCAGGCTGTTTGTTGGCATGGCGGTAGTCGGCATCTTTTACCTTTGCTTCCCACCGATTTTCGCCTCACCATGTCAGTGGCTTCTCGTATGCCTGCATCTGGTTCTGGGAGCTCGGCCCTTCTGTGAACTCTCCGAGGTAGCCCCTTCGTATAAGTTCATCGATGGCTGCCCTGAGGCTGCGGCAGTGATCTGTGTTGTGCCCGGTCTTGCGGTGGTACTCGCAATAAACCATGTCATTCCTGCCCATTGGCGTTGGTGAAGAGGGTGATGCCCGTGCACTCCATGAGGTCCTTGACCTTCAGGATTTCATCCCTCCACCGAATGAGGAAAGTGGATAGGGTTTCCTCCTTCCCTTGGCAGACGCTCGTCAACCAGCAGAAGTGCCTCTTCGGCGTGGAGCTGGAGACGAACTGCGCCATGAATTGTCTGGACAATTGTTCAAAGCTGTCGATGGATCCGGGTCTGAGCTGCCCGAACCATTCCTACACCGGCCCTCTGAGGGTGCTAAAGAAGAGCCAGCAAATGGCTTCATTGGAGCCCCCCCCCCCCACATGGAGAGTTCTCCATGGAAAGAAAGTAGGTGGGCTTTAGGTTCCCTTGACCCATCGTAAATCAGGGAGTCGAACGGCCGAATGTCCCTTGGAATCTCTGCCGCCATGATTCTGGCGGAGAAAGGAGAGAATAGTGCAATCCTGGGCTGAGCCGGGTCAGTGTCTGCTCGTCGACTCAGTTCATTGATCTGCCTTTGGAGGTCCACGAGCATCGCATCTCAAGGTTCGATGATTGGGGTTACGGGGGTTACCCGTGCTAAGGCATTCTGGGTACGCACAGCGTCAGCGCCATGCTGCCTGTTGATGACGCGAGCCTCTTGTCCCAGGCCGCTGACCATGAGGGTCTGTTCCCTGGCGCATGATCATTTCGAGGCATAACTGGGGTGCGGTCCCCCGCATGTTGTTGTGTTCCCCTCAAGACCCTGCATCCGGTGTTTCCTGGAAATGTCTTGGGATCGTGTGTCCCTGACGGTTCATGTATGGATCGAGGAGCGAGAGTGCGTGCTCTCGCCTGTATGCTCCCCGAGCGTCTGCATACTGTGGAGGGGAGAGAGCTGGGTATGCTCGGTGCTAGCAAAATACACCCGCTCCGCCTCCCGCTCGTCCGCCAAGCGGTGGATGGTATCCGCCATATCCCTCAGGGCGTTAGGGTCTCCCCTGAGTTCGTGGGGAATCGTGTTAGTAAGCACCCCAAAGTCTCCGCGGCTCCACAAGCTGCTGGACTGGGTGTTTTCCGCCTGATGTCGTGCTCTTCGGCTGCGTGACAGCCGTTCGGAGAGATCATAGGAGTTTCCTTCATTGTTCCTTGCCATCTTACTTGTTTTGATTGTTTAAAAGTGATTTTCAGCTGAGAGCTGTGTTTTGGAAGAACTTTTTGATCAGTTTCTCACAGACGGCACCAGTGTTGAGGTTTATTCCCTTCAACTCATAGGCCCAACACATAACCTAAGGGTTTCGAGTGGGTAGTTTAGGAGAATAAGGTCAAACAAGTAAGATGAGGCCCAATAAGAAGTCTTATTATACTGAAGGGGTTAGAGGCGTGAGGCCATTCGTCCCGAGCTATGCTACGAGCTGCTATGAATGTTATAATACTAGAGTGCTAAGTTGTCTCCCTTTACAATGAAATAGATGCTAATATTTATACCGCCAATGGATAGTTAGATGCATTGAACCCAGCTGTGGATGACTTGATCCCAACCACCAAATAGTTTGCATTAAATGCGCAATCCCCAAGATCTTAGCTTCTCGCCAAGAGGTGGGGAGGTTTGTCCCCATGGGCTTGCCTAGCTTTGATCCCGATCACCAGATCTTCTGCATTAAATGCGCAACCACCAAATATTCTGTGTTAAATGTAGAATCCTGTCAGGATCTTGGCAGTCCGCTAAGGGGTGGGGACGTTCGTCCCCATGAGCTTGCCTCTGGTTTCCTGCTGGGCCCAAAGTCCTGCGAGACGTGCGTCCCGTGCTGCTCCTGGGCCATGGTACCTCTACGCTAGGATACGTACGTCCCTTGGATAATCGGAAGGGTATGTAACACCCCCATTTTTCCCGCCCAAAATAATACTTGAAATAATAATATATTGATAACAATCTTGATTTATTCTTTAAAAATAGATAGAGTTTTGCAGCGGAAATAACAGTAATGGAAAAAGGGTGTGTTACCGCCACACCCAGCCCTCAACTTGGCTGGATGTTAAGGCTATCCACCATGAGTTCAACCGAATTAAAAACTTGAATTCAAAATCTACTAACATTATTTAATCTAAGTGAAGACTACACTAAATTTTTCTAAAGCGCTCTCCAGGTTCATCAAACATCATGAGCTTCGTATTCATCATTACCTGCACAAATAAAGTGCAGAAAACGAAACAAAGAAAAGGAAACAAAAATTAGCTTTAGAGCTAAGTAAGTACTACCCAACCCCGTAAAATAATCAGGTTTGACAAAAATAGTTTTTCATATAATACTATATATAAAAATACTCACACCACCGAAATTCTTTTCAAAACATTATTTATCAACAATCTCAAATACCCTTATAATAAAAAAATAATATTTATAAGCTCCCAACAATTAATTAATATCTCAAAAGAAGTATCACTTTTCAAAATAACTTTTGAAGCTAAAAATATCACCATTCCGAAATCAATGTCACTTTCAGATTCTTTTAAGATGGACGAAACTCAAGATTCCTCGAGCCCAATGAATCGTTGTTGTGTACGACTCATCCCGGAATTCCGGCTCCCACCGACCACCAATTGGAAACTGAACTTCACCCTTAAGTGTGCACACCCCCTAAAAGAGATTCCAAGCCCTCCGAGTAGTAAGAAGTCCAAGTAGTTCGGACAACGTCCCCCTACCTCACAATGGGTTAGAAACCCGGGTAATTAGAAACTACTACCGCGGCCACCAAAGAACTTTTAAAGTTCTCAAAAGAAATACCGGGAATCTCCCGCCACCAATATTTACCGGGATTTCTCCCGCCACCAATAATCATCATAAACCTAAACTAAACCCGCGATATATAGCTCTAACCACCCACACCTCGTGTTTCTCTCGAGATGTCAATAATTATTGAAAAACATTATTCATTCTTGGAAAATTATTTCTCTATACCTAGTCTTCCAAAATATCCATTTAATGGATACGTCCACCAAAAATTCACATTCATAAATACTCCAAAATTGTATTACATGAAAAATCACTCCAAAGTCATACTAGGGATTAAATCCAAAATATATCTCCAATATTTCACAAATTCTTAGTCGCCCAAAACAGTACACATTTAAAATTCACACTTAATCACATAATGCATAATAAGCATATAATACGAGGAAACAATTTTGGATTGGCAGAGAAACTTACCTTAAATCCTGATGCTCCTAGTTATCCTCCTCTAATCCGGTCTCTAGATAATCACCTTTTTAATTAAATATGATAAATTAGTCACTTATTCTATTTGTAATTACTTTACCCGATTTTCTCCTTTTATTTTATTATTTGAATTTATTAACTTAATTTATTAGTTATCCGAATTTATTTGATTACTCACTTTCTATTAATAAAATTACCTTATTAATTAACTACTACATCTAAATTTTTATTCAATAATCACTATTAATTTACCCTACTCATAAATTATTATCTAATTACTTTATTTACATAACCGAATATATTTATTTTCCTTATTTAATTACTTAACTAGTTTTATATGGCCTAATTTAAATAAATAGACTAAGAATCGACTTTATAAATTAGTAACCGTCTATAACTATATTTTGGGTCTATATTTGACCTAGGTTGTCCATATATCTATTTTATAATTATTTCCATAATTATTCATTTAATTTCATATATCTATTAACCGGTTCAATTATAATTAAATATACTAAATCTTAATATTAATTAATTATAAATGGTCCATAAGGTCCTAGTTAGTCATATATTTATCCTAGTTTACTCCAATATTTATTTCATAATTATTTTCGTTATTTAGTTAATTATTTACTAAATGTGTATAAATTGGCCCAATTACAATTAAATAAATTAAAAATAGCTAAAAATATTATTTTCCAATTCTGGTTGGTCCGAATATGTATATTTATACTAGGTATATTTTTCCAGATTTTTTTATTTTATTTACTATTTTATTTTTAATTTTTACTGAAATTGGGCCGAGGTGACCCAAATTATTTTAATTAACAGGCCCAATACACAGCAGTCCAACAAATCAGACCCCAGCCCTTAGGTTGGGTCGTCTTCTTCGCAAGGACGCCGGAAAAAGAGATGAAACGCAGGGGACGGCCTACCTCGACGAATGCGGCCAATGACGGTGGCGATGCACTCCTGATGGACGGTAACGGTCGGTGATGAACTGGCGGCGGCGGCGGTATCCCCTTCTCCTCCGTTTTCCGTCGTGAAAGTTTTCCCCGGTGAAACTCTGGCGAGCTATTTCTCCCTACTCCGACGTCCGTTTTCCACGATTCTTCCTCCGTTGGATTCGTCTCACGAAGGGGAAGGTTTGAGAAGTATTTTCAAGGCTTGGTTCTGGCTAAAAAGATGGGTCGAAAAATATATATATATATACGTATATATGTATATTTCGCAGATTTTGGGATGAAGAAAACGCAGGTTCTGACCTATTATTTATAGGGAAAGATGAGGGTTTTAGGCTGAGATGTTAGAGTTTGAGTTTAATATAATTAGCTTCTTCCGGCCTCACCGTTGGTAGTTTACCTCGCTTAGGAGTAATTGTTCGTAGGAGTCATATGTTAGGAGTATATCTTAGTATTATATATCTATTATACGTACGTAGTTAGTTAGGAGTATATCTTAGTATTATATATCTATCTATTATACGTACGTAGTTAGTTTAGAAGTAGGTTTCTATTATATATTATTTCTTATATTCTTGTATTTGTGTATTATTATACTTAACTTAAAATACATATATATAAAAGTTAATTTTTATACTAAAACGTTACTTCTATTATCGGGCCATTTTTATCAGACTAAAAATGTCGCAAATGTAAATTTTCTGTCTGGTTCACTTGTTTACTAAAATGTTGTTCTTATTACTGAAATATTTTTATCTGACTAAAACGTCATAAATTTTGAAATTTTATCTGATTAAAATGTTACCACTGTTGAAATTTTGTTTTAACTCACTTAATAATAAAAATGTTATTTTCGTAATATTTTATCTGATTAAAAATTATTTTTTATTTTTATTTAAATTTTTGAAGTGTCACATTCTACCCTCCTTAAAAGATGTTTCGTCCCGAAACATTAACTAAATCTAAATACTCGAATTCTTAAGTATTACATTCTACCCCCCTTAAAGAGAGGTTACGTCCTCGTAACAAGAATATTACCTGAGTCGAGATTGTGAGCGTTTGCCTGAGTTTGATTCATCACGTAGATTCGACCTCTATTGGGGTTGTTGTCATTGTTTCCATCACTCCTCTGATTCGGGTTTGCCGGTATGTCCGCCTTTTTGGAATTGCATTCAAAAGCTCGGTGTCCTAGCTTGTCGCAATTGAAACATTTGGTTTGACTTCCGTCACAATTTACGCCTGAGTGATCTTTATTACAACGCTTGCAGTAATAGTGCCTCTCACGATCCCTCCTCTGATTTTGACCTTGGAATCTTCCTCCGCCTTGGTTGTTCTGGCGCTGCTCAGGGCGATCAATCTTGGCCGTCTTCTGTTGCTGCTCCACTTCCGCATTCTTTCGGTCTCTTTTGTGTGCCTCCCTTTCCTTCTGGTGTACCAGGTAGTACTTACCAGCCTTTCTATAAGCCTCATTCAAATTCCGCGGCTTTGCTACCGTCACGAACTTTTGGGCCCCGAAGTTAAGCCCGTTAACAAACCTGCGGGTCATACTGGCCTCTGTCGACACCAGGTCCTTGGCAAAACGTGCCAGTTGAACGAATTTCGTGTGGTACTCCTGAACAGTCAGGTCACCTTGTTTAAAGTTGACAAATTCTTCATAATTTGCTTCCTTCACGTGATCTGCGTAGAAGCGATCCCGCAACGCTACTATGAAGTCCTCCCAATCGAAGCCCGGTTTCCCGAGAAGTGCTAGTCCGTTGGCGGCCCACCAGTGGTCCGCTTCTTGGTGCAGATAGTACACCGCAATATTCACCCGTTGCTCCGACGGGCAATTCAGTGAATCAAAGAGCTTGTCGAAAGTGCGGATCCAGTCCTCCAAGATAAGGTGGTCTTCCTCACCCAAGTATTTTGGAGGGTTTCGCCCGACAACCCTTGTTGCGTAGTCAATCCCAGGGTTCTGGGGTTGGGCTGCTCCTATGAGCTGCGCCATTTGCTGGACAGTTTGGGCCAGCTCCGCAACAGTTGGGGTTGAATGTGGGTCTTTCCTCGGCGGCATGATTCTTAATACAGAAATCGAGTACTAAGTACTAAGACATTCATAAGGCTTCTACATTATACAAGTTCTCTACTAAATTCAAACAGATAAACACATACGAAGGATCTTACTTACTCCACATACTTCACATAAGCACGAATTTCATGCATTTCATAACTCAATAATTTCGCAAAGGTTTCTCCCTCTCACTGCGTCCTAAAAGGTCTTTTTCCTAGTATATTCATTCTCCTAATTTTACAAAAACATTTTGAAAATCCCCGCATCAAAACTATAGTTTTCGTCAAAGATTTCGAACGACGAAGTTTCAGCACAAGGAGAAATTCCCAGTTAGTTGGACGAGCGCAGGACTCAATTATGCACCAACTAGCTTAGACTGTTATCGTCTTTGTGACAGAATTTCTCCCTACGACCTATTACCTCGTGTTCTAGTCCCTTCGGAAAACCTAAGGTCTCTGATACCAATTTGTAACACCCCCATTTTTCCCGCCCAAAATAATACTTGAAATAATAATATATTGATAACAATCTTGATTTATTCTTTAAAAATAGATAGAGTTTTGCAGCGGAAATAACAGTCATGGAAAAAGGGTGTGTTACCGCCACACCCAGCCCTCAACTTGGCTGGATGTTAAGGCTATCCACCATGAGTTCAACCGAATTAAAAACTTGAATTCAAAATCTACTAACATTATTTAATCTAAGTGAAGACTACACTAAATTCTTCTAAAGCGCTCTCCAGGTTCATCAAACATCATGAGCTTCGTATTCATCATTACCTGCACAAATAAAGTGCAGAAAACGAAACAAAGAAAAGGAAACAAAAATTAGCTTTAGAGCTAAGTAAGTACTACCCAACCCCGTAAAATAATCAGGTTTGACAAAAATAGTTTTTCATATAATACTATATATAAAAATACTCACACAACCGAAATTCTTTTCAAAACATTATTTATCAACAATCTCAAATACCCTTATAATAAAAAAATAATATTTATAAGCTCCCAACAATTAATTAATATCTCAAAAGAAGTATCACTTTTCAAAATAACTTTTGAAGCTAAAAATATCACCATTCCGAAATCAATGTCACTTTCAGATTCTTTTAAGATGGACGAAACTCAAGATTCCTCGAGCCCAATGAATCGTTGTTGTGTACGACTCATCCCGGAATTCCGGCTCCCACCGACCACCAATTAGAAACTGAACTTCACCCTTAAGTGTGCACACCCCCTAAAAGGGATTCCAAGCCCTCCGAGTAGTAAGAAGTCCAAGTAGTTCGGACAACGTCCCCCTACCTCACAATGGGTTAGAAACCCGGGTAATTAGAAACTACTACCGCGGCCACCAAAGAACTTTTAAAGTTCTCAAAAGAAATACCGGGAATCTCCCGCCACCAATATTTACCGGGATTTCTCCCGCCACCAATAATCATCATAAACCTAAACTAAACCCGCGGTATATAGCTCTAACCACTCACACCTCGTGTTTCTCTCGAGATGTCAATAATTATTGAAAAACATTATTCATTCTTGAAAAATTATTTCTCTATACCTAGTCTTCCAAAATATCCATTTAATGGATACGTCCACCAAAAATTCACATTCATAAATACTCCAAAATTGTATTACATGAAAAATCACTCCAAAGTCATACTAGGGATTAAATCCAAAATATATCTCCAATATTTCACAAATTCTTAGTCGCCCAAAACAGTACACATTTAAAATTCACACTTAATCACATAATGCATAATAAGCATATAATACGAGGAAACAATTTTGGATTGGCAGAGAAACTTACCTTAAGTCCTGATGCTCCTAGTTATCCTCCTCTAATCCGGTCTCTAGATAATCACCTTTTTAATTAAATATGATAAATTAGTCACTTATTCTATTTGTAATTACTTTACCCGATTTTCTCCTTTTATTTTATTATTTGAATTTATTAACTTAATTTATTAGTTATCCGAATTTATTTGATTACTCACTTTCTATTAATAAAATTACCTTATTAATTTCATCCATTAATTTTCAATATTTGAAATAAAATATCCGAATATAATTAACTACTACATCTAAATTTTTATTCAATAATCACTATTAATTTACCCTACTCATAAATTATTATCTAATTACTTTATTTACATAACCGAATATATTTATTTTCCTTATTTAATTACTTAACTAGTTTTATATGGCCTAATTTAAATAAATAGACTAAGAATCGACTTTATAAATTAGTAACCGTCTATAACTATATTTTGGGTCTATATTTGACCTAGGTTGTCCATATATATATTTTATAATTATTTCCATAATTATTCATTTAATTTCATATATCTATTAACCGGTTCAATTATAATTAAATATACTAAATCTTAATATTTATTAATTATAAATGGTCCATAAGGTCCTAGTTAGTCATATATTTATCCTAGTTTACTCCAATATTTATTTCATAATTATTTTCGTTATTTAGTTAATTATTTACTAAATGTGTATAAATTGGCCCGATTACAATTAAATCAATTAAAAATAGCTTAAAAAAATTATTTTCCAATTCTGGTTGGTCCGAATATGTATATTTATACTAGGTATATTTTTCCAGATTTTATTTATTTTATTTACTATTTTATTTTTAATTTTTACTGAAATTGGGCCGAGGTGACCCAAATTATTTTAATTAACAGGCCCAATACACAGCAGTCCAGCAAATCAGACCCCAGCCCTTAGGATGGGTCATCTTCTTCGCAAGGACGCCGGAAAAAGAGATGAAACGCAGGGGACGGCCTACCTCGACGAATGCGGCCAATGACGGTGGCGATGCACTCCTGATGGACGGTAACGGTCGGTGATGAACTGGCGGCGGCGGCGGTATCCCCTTCTCCTCCGTTTTCCGTCGTGAAAGTTTTCCCCGGCGAAACTCCGACGAGCTATTTCTCCCTACTCCGACGTCCGTTTTCCACGATTCTTCCTCCGTTGGATTCGTCTCACGAAGGGGAAGGTTTGAGAAGTATTTTCAAGGCTTGGTTCTGGCTAAAACGATGGGTCGAAAAATATATATATATATACGTATATATGTATATTTCGCAGATTTTGGGATGAAGAAAACGCAGGTTCTGACCTATTATTTATAGGGAAAGATGAGGGTTTTAGGCTGAGATGTTAGAGTTTGAGTTTAATATAATTAGCTTCTTCTGGCCTCACCGTTGGTAGTTTACCTCGCTTAGGAGTAATTGTTCGTAGGAGTCATATGTTAGGAGTATATCTTAGTATTATATATCTATTATACGTACGTAGTTAGTTAGGAGTATATCTTAGTATTATATATCTATCTATTATACGTACGTAGTTAGTTTAGAAGTAGGTTTCTATTATATATTATTTATTATATTCTTGTATTTGTGTATTATTATACTTAACTTAAAATAGATATATATAAAAGTTAATTTTTATACTAAAACGTTACTTCTATTATCGGGCCATTTTTATCAGACTAAAAATGTCGCAAATGTAAATTTTCTGTCTGGTTCACTTGTTTACTAAAATGCTGTTCTTATTACTGAAATATTTTTATCTGACTAAAACGTCATAAATTTTGAAATTTTATCTGATTAAAATGTTACCACTGTTGAAATTTTGTTTTAACTCACTTAATAATAAAAATGTTATTTTCGTAATATTTTATCTGATTAAAAATTATTTTTTATTTTTATTTAAATTTTTGAGGTGTCACATTCTACCCTCCTTAAAAGATGTTTCGTCCCGAAACATTAACTAAATCTAAATACTCGAATTCTTAAGTATTACAGGGTATCCCGTAGTCTTGGGCCTTCTAGGGACGTCCGTCCCCATGGGCTTCCTACTGGGAAGTCCTTCGAGACGTGCGTCTCGTGTTGCTCCTGGGCCAAGGTATCTGCCTACGCTAGGATACGTACATCCCCTAGATAATCGGAAGGGTATCCCGTTGTTTTGGGCCTTCTGGAGACGTTCGTCCGCATGAGCCTTAAGGGTTTATGGGCCAGCCCCCATTGGGCTATTAACCCAACAAAAGTAATGATAATAAATTGATAATCTAGATAAACTTGTCACTCAAGTTCGTAGTTCGAATCCGTCAGACATTCACATTTAAGGGTCTTGTAACGGATGGTGATGCTACGATCGGCGACCGCGAACCGCCGTCCAGCGAAGTCAACGGCTGACCGACAACGGGATCCAGAGACTGGCTGCGAGATCTGGAAACGGGCTGTGAGAGTCAAAGCATCGACAGACCAACTTCAGTCGGCTAAGCACAACGGCGCCTTGGATGACGATGATGACACGGAGCAGTAGTAGCGTGTATGGCGATAGTGGCTTGGATTTGGAATTTCCAGATTTCTTCATTGTTTTCTTTTTTTGGTGTATTTTTCAGATTGATTTTTAATGATTTCTTGTGATATGGATTAATTTTTGATGTTTTGGGAGGAATCTCACTTAAGTTTTGCTCAATCTCTCAATGATAGCACCAAATTATAGATTATTAATCTAGAAAGAAGGGAGAGCTAGAGAGATAAAGTGATACTCCCTCCGCCCTTAAAACTTTGTCAACTTTCTTTTTTTGGATGTCTTACTGACTTTGCCACTTTCCCTTTTAAGTAAAGAATTTGTGGCTGCAGTTAATTCTCTCTCCTCTGCACAAACCTCAACCACACAGTTTTTACTTTATTAATTCACGTGTCAGTCAAACTTGGCAAAGTTTAAAGGGACTGAGGTAGTATGTATAAATGAATTTCCAACCTTTTACATGGCTCTCTTAGGGAGTATTTATAGGAGAGAAGTGGGTTGAGCTTCCAGGCTTGGGCTTGGCAGACCCAGTTACAATAAGAGGCCAATAAATGGTTAATATGGTATTTAATCTATTCTAATGGGTACATATGAATAAATAGAGTGTACATTGATAGAAATGCTATCTATTGAGCATACGTGGGCCGCTATTCGGGCCCAATAGTCATGAGACCAGTGATCCAAGTCTATATACTCTATCAACTTGTTTAATATTTCAGATAAATGTGAAACTTCGGAATAGCAGGTCATCAATCGATTAGAGATCAACCAAAAAAGATGGATTGCAAAGATGAAATTATTTTGATATTATGTAATTGTAGAATTATTCTTAAAAGATCTGTTGAATATGAGATTATTGTTATTATGTTTTCCTATTATAAAAACGGTTGATGCACACCTTATGAAAAATGTAAAACAGAAAACAATTAATATTGTCTGCTCATTTTTTTCAGGCTATATACTTTTTCAGATAAGGAGCGTTGTGGTATTGGGATAAGTATCAAATTGGACACTATGATTATATGTGAATATCATATATGATGCTAAGGTTTTAAATGAATTTGGATCCACTCCGGTGACTGGAGAGTTCCATTATGAAAGATATAGAGAGGAGGAAATTATGGGTGGGGTAGGTTGGTGAGTAGGATAGAGAAAAAGGTACAGATAGATAAGAAGTAAAAAGGAAATGGAAGGGCAATGGAGAGAAAGAAATGGAGAGGAGCTGAACCCGTTTTAAATAGATCAAATTAGACACCATGATTACATGTGAATAATTGAATATCATATTCGACACTAAGGTTCAAATAGACACTATAGTATTCCCTTTACTTTATTTTTTGAACCTAAAAATAAAAATAACTTAATTGGTATATGTAGATTTAGAATATATAATTAGACGTTCCAATTAAAAAAAATATAGTGTTACTAAACTTTTTAATTTCATTAAATCAATTTAACAAATTAATATTTCCCAAATTTCCATAATATTCCTATGAATGAAAGGTCCTTAATATATTTTTAACTTCTTAAATATAAGTTCTTAATTAAAATCAAATTACATATCATAAAACCTCGAATTAAATATTCTAATACTATACACATCAATTAAGTTAGTTTATTGACATACAAAAAAAATTAGTGCCAATATGAGATTGACATGTAACTGTGATATTGTCCGCTCATTTAAAAATCAAATCGGATTAACTAAGAGCTATTTTAAAATTAATTTACGCATTAAAATAAGTTATATTTGGTCAATTAACTTAACTTCCCAAAGTATTATAAACGACTAAACAAATAGGTTTCATATGTAAAATTTAGTTTTTTTTTCATATGTAAAATTTAGTGTTTGATCTACTTATGGTCTTTCATTGAGTAGAAACTAATATTAGAGTGTTTGGGTATAAATGCAAAAGTATTTTTGGATGTTCTAAATTTTTTCTAGACGCATCATTTAAGAAGTTGAGGGAGATCGGTTCTAAATTGCTTCCGCTTCTGTTTTGAAAAGACAAGCAAAAGTAGAATAAATTCAAAACGCCCGATGTACTATATACATAGTTGGATGTTGGAGAGGAGAGTTTAGGGGGTGTTTGGATGTTGGAGAGGAGAGTTTAGGGGGTGTTTCTATTCCTTTAGGGAGCTGAAACAAAAGTTAGACTGTTGAAGTGTTTGGATGAAAATGCAGAAATATTTCTGGTACTCTAATTTATTTCTAGAATCAGTTTTTTTAAATTGGGAAAGACAAGTTTCTGAAAACTAATTCTAATTCTGATTCTGATTTAAAAAGAAACAAATCTGAGTTTCAAACATCCCCTAATTTATAAAACCAGATCACGAGACACAGGAAAGCTGCCACTTGTTTTGTAATGGAGTAGTTGGAATGCCCACTTGCTGGCACAAATACACAGTACCAAATATGGTTGTGATCTGAGCGCCAACAGAGAGACCATGGAATCTTCTAGTACACCCCAATGGACTGCTGATTAATTTAACCACGTGTGTGTTGGGTTATGTAAAATATTTTTCAAGGTAATCAAATTAGGGGTTGAATATTAGTCGATTAAAACTAATTTCCGAAAACGTCACCACATTTATGATTGAAAAAAAAAAGTGACTAAGCTGGTTTCATATTTGAAAAAATTAAAGTGATTGTCAAATATTCACTCACTATCGCGACCCTCACCTATGTCACTGCCGCCACCGTTGTTGCCGACACCGCCGGACACAATGACACCGTCATCACCACAGCGACACCCGACGCCATCGGAACCACCTAACGACCACTATCTCACCTCTCTTCATCCCGTGACCACCACCTAACCCCCTCCCCAACCCCCACCAGCCACTACGTAACCCGATTTAGTTCTCTCCCCAACATAATCCCCAGCTAAGCTCAGACCTGTACCCCTTCCCTACGCAACAAAGTTGTGACAGCCACCTTCCCAGCCCCTGAGCGCCAACGATGGCCAGTGACCAGCCCCTCGGCGCCAGCGATGGCCAAGTACCAGTTCTTCTTTTTCGACATCACTCGTCATCTCCATAGCCATAGTTGCAGAGGTCGCATCCAGGCATATTCGCTCCTAAGCGCTCACAATCGCACCATCGCGGTAGATCTGAACCCTAGCCATCAATTTGAAACTTTAGTCGTCGGAAATGGACGACAGCTCCATGGGACAAGGGAGGTAGACACGAATCGATCCGAAACTGAAGCTCGAGAAACAGAGAGAAGAAAAGAGAGTTGGAGCAGGAGTTGCAGTGCTACCTCTCTTCATAGAAATGATGATGATGATGGTGATGATGATACTCCGCAGAAATAATTTACCGCACCTTCTTATCAAGGTGCCAAGTTTAATTCACCTAATGTTATAGGTGAACGTTTCCGGGTATGATTTTACACCTACTCCCTTATGTGAGTCCCATGTCTGGTTTAATAATCTTTTATTAATTTAAGACAAGAATTTAATTTTTCTTCTTATTAAAACTATTCTTTAGTCTTGATTTACTTCATTTAATCCCGTACTTGTAGGAAAAAAAATCTCTTGGTAAAATTCGGGTTCGGTGTTACAAGTTCACCCCCCCCCCCCCCCCCCTACAGGAATTTCATCCCCGAAATTAACATCTGAATTCTCATAAACAATCCTTCCTTCACTAATTGAATCTAACAATTTTCTAACATCATAATATACATAAGAACGTTGAGGCTCAAAAAAATTACCTTATGTCTTAGTCGTTCTCACAAATGGCTCTCGTCATTCATCGTGTTCACTAGCGAGTTCGCTTTTGATTTGTAGAGGGTACAATGTTCAAGGCAACCCCCATTGGGATTTCAACCCCTGTGGCGCCTCCTGTAGCCCCCCTAATGTTCCTTCTTGTGTACGTTTCTCCACAAAAGTAACATCTAGATGGCTCTAGACAC